GAGGAGTTGCGGGGAGAAGGCACCAGCACACGCGGAACCTGTGTCAACCACCTGGAAAGAAAGGCTCAGCAAGGAAGACGTTGTGAAGGCTGTGTACTCCCGCTTCACTTCGAGTTTTAAACACCAGCGTCCCTGCCATCACACGCTATCTCACTCAAGCCTCCGAACAACCCCTGAGATGGGAATTGGACGTCCCAATTTTATATATAAGGGAAATAGGTTCTCAGAGGTTAAGAACACACAGCTGGGAAGAAGCTAGAAAGAGCTGGAACGGGAAAGCTGGCCTACCGCCAAATTCCATGCTCTTCCCACCAGAGCACTGGTTTTCAGGAGGGAGAGAAAAGCCAGGGTTGCCTCTAAGCAGTAGCTGCCTGTCGGCTGTTATTATTATTGTTGTCGTTGTTATTTCATTACTGTCATTTTAACTCACCCATAGGTCACACACAGCTTACACAGCACTTTTGCTCCCGTTAACTCACGTTATTCTCAGTGACTCTGTGGGCACACAGGGTGGGGTGGGGCCTAGTGTTCCCACACGGCACATGAGAAAACGGAGGCAAAAGACCCACGGCAGGAAGAGATTGAGACTGGGTCCTGTTATGTTTCATCCCCATTTTATCGTATTTATTTGCACGACTCCGTGATGTCAGGGGCTAGATCCGATCCGCCACTCCCTTCACGGCCCCAGCCCAGGCTGGGCACTCCGTGAACGTTTGTTGAACTGAGTTGAGTTGGCCTGACGTGAAGTAAATGAGAAGTCTTGTGCTGAGTGGGATGGTGCCTGAGAGAAGCAAGCCCCATATGGAGCCTGCCCGGGGCATGGCCAGGGCCGCCTTGCCCAAGCCAGGCCAGGCTGCTCTGAGGGCGCTTCCGCTCTGCCAAGGCGAGGGGTGCTCACTTCCTCCGAGAGCCGAGCCTCAAGTATCCCTTCCTCCCCTCTGGAGAGCTCGCTGGCTCGGGCTGGTCTCGGGGAGCCCCATTACTGGTCACCTCCCTGCCCCATTCCACTCAGGGGCAATCCAGCTGGCACAGAGCCCTTCCCACCATTCCCACCCAGTCCTGCGAGCCAGAGGGGGCTGGGACTGAGCCCTATTGCTGTGTCCCCTCTGGGCACCCATGACCATACCCCTCACTGCCTCCAGCTGTCTCCCTATTCGCCATCTGCTCCTCCAGAGTGGGAGAAAGATGAGCCCTTTCTTTCCGGAGGCAACCCTGGTTTCTGTGTCCTGGATCCCATCCTCTCCTCTCTCCTCAGAAGCCCTGCTTCACTTCTTGGCCTCAAAAGACTCAGGCGCCCCCTCCCCAGACCAGTTAAATCATCAGAGCTGCGGCCTGGCCACCCAGATTTCTTAAAAGCTCTCCAAGCGATTCCAATGCGCAGAGTCTTGAGAACAATCTGCCTCTTCAAAAAGAGAGAAATATCATACAATACAATACGAGATGATACAATACAATGTAACTGAATAACAGATCAGACTATAATAGAAAATATCAGACCTCTTTGCTCATTGTAAGGGTAACCATTGTTTCTTAAAAGTTTGGCTTCAATTGTGTGTGCGTGAGTACGGGTGTGAGTAGGCGTGTCATCCTGGGTCATGATGTAATGTATTTCTTGCTGTAGATTATGGCTAAACCATTTTTCTTCTTTTGTGTGGAAAATGTTGCTCCAGTTCCTGCTTAGCTCCTGGTTCTCCTTTAGAGAAAAAATCCCTGACAGAAAACTCTCGTGCGCTGCCTGCTCTCCATCTTCATCTGGCGTCTGCAGCCCCCACCCGCCACGCTTTGCTAAAGCTTCTCATTGAGGTTGCCACGATGTGCACCTTCCAAGTCCAGTGACTTCTGCCCCGACTCTCCGTCCTTCCCACTATCTGTGGTTCATTCACACAGATGGCTCTCATCCCTGAAATTCTGTCAGCAGAGTCTGCGTCGTCCTCCAGCCTCTCCTGGCTCTTCCTTCTCAGTGTCCCACCAGCTGACCCTCTCTCTCCCAACTCCTACATGTCTTCCACTGAGGATTCCCTCAAGCTTCTCTTTTTTGTTCTCCCCTGTTCTCTTTGCCACCCTCTCCTCCCAGTCAATGGCTTTATTCCTCTGTGTACAAGATTCCAAATCCACGTGCCCACATTCTCCTCTCTTGAGCTCCAGCTGTGCAGTTGGCTAGCTATGTAGCAGTCTCCTGGAAATGGCGGGGGGCAGGAGGGTGACACCGACAGTGTTCAATTCATAGTCACACACATGACTGTGTCAGGCGGGCAGTGCAAGCAAGGGAGGATTATCATGCCATTTTACAGAGGAAGAAACTGAGACTGAGAGGTCGAGGGATGTTTCCGTGGTCGCTCATCCACGGTGGAGAGGGTCCTAGAACCCATGCCTTCACACTCAAGCCCAGAGGTCTTTCCCTTCACACCGTGTGCCGGGACTCCACATGTAACCAAGCGAAGCTATACCTTATTCATTAAACCAGATATTCTCAACCAGAGCTGTGCAGCCGAGTCAGTAAGAACGTTTTTTTAAAACAGAGAAGCCCAGACTCCACCTCTAACTTACTGAATTAGAATCTTCTGGGAGAGCATTCTGTTTGTTCTGGCTTTACATTTTGAAGTAATTACAGATTCACATGAAGGTAAAGAGAAAAGTGCAAGGAGGTTGCCTGCACCCTTCATCAGCCTCACCCATCATTAACATCTTACACAACCACAGTGCAACATCAAAACCACGACATCCATGGTGCCACAATCTGAAGAACTTGCTCAGATCACTCCAGGAACACATGCACTCAATTTGGGTGTGTGTATGTAGATCTGTGCGACTTTGTCACGTGGAGCTTTGTGTAATCACTACCATAGTCAAGAGACTTAACTGTCACAGTACTCCCTAGAGCTTTGGGTGTGAAAGCTCCCCATCCCTGATGAAGAACCACTGTCCCCAGCTCCTCCTCCTCTTGCCTCCCTCTCCAGGGGGTGCACCATCATCCTCTGAGTCACCCCGGCTTGAAACTGAGTCATCATTCCCCAGGCCTCCTTTGGCCCACCTGCCCATGGCCTGTTAGTCAAGAGATCCAGTAGAGGCTTCCTTCATAGTATCGTTCAAGCCCACATCTTGCCCTTGATCCTGCCATTACTCCATGCCGCTTGATTTCTGGACTGTACTGCTGCAGCTGCCTTCTCATCCAGTTCCTTTCTTCAAGATGTCCCTTTCCCCAACCACCATCATAAACCACAGCCAAACTCTCCATCACCCAACTCTGACTGCATCACTCCTCCCACCAAAAACTTTCAATGGTTGTTGCCATTTACAAAATAAAGTCCAAACTTTTAAATTCAAATATGAAATCCTCTACATCTGGCTCACTTCCTTATCTAAATTTCTCAAACTCAATTATCAGCTTTTCCCCTTTTTTGCATGTGGATTAAAGACAAAATGGCACCCTTAAGGCCACGATAAGGTTCTCACCATGGGGAAGAAATGAAAGGCTCCAGGATTTCCTTCTTTCTAGTGCTTCATTCTCTTCTCCCTTTCATGATGTGACGAAGGGCAGCAGAATGGGGCCTGGGGATGCCTCCTGCTTGGGAGATGTCCTCGCCCTTGGAAGGATGGCTGCTCCATCCCTTGCCTCCTTCAATGTAAGCAGTGAGGGGGCGAGCAGGCCTGGGTGGAGCAAGGGAGGGTGCATGAGCAGACTAGTCGGGCTGTTCTGGTGTTAGCTACTGGGGAACGGGAGCTTTCTTAGGCATCCATTCCTTGGACCCAAGCAAGGCAATGATCAGTAGCTGCTCAAGATGTGGGATCTGGGCCCCTTCCTGTCTCCCTGGTAACAGAATATCACCTTTAAAACTTTGCTGCCTGTTTGCTGCCATCTTTTGACGCCTTTCCCTTCCTCATCTTCATGAAACAATGAGAGTCAAGCGATTCGTCAGCAAAGCCCTTCAGAAAGCTCTAAAATCCACTTCACAGAGCTGCTCCTACACTCCTTATTACACGATGATAAAATGAAAAAGAAAATTTGCTTATTGAGATTAAATATATTCCAATTATCTGATATGTTTCAGCTTTAATTGATAACAAAACACAAATTGCCCATCTGAACTTCTCATTACAGCAACTAATTCACTGGGAAATTTATTACCTGACATCAGAGAAGCACTAAAGATAACACAAGCCCAGTGACTCTGCCATGACCCAGCAGTCTATTTGTTAAAATTGGGCATTATCCAAAGCACATCCATACCAATGGTCCTATCAAGAGCACTGGTCTTTAAACTTCTCCACACATGGTCTGTAAGTTTGGAGAATATTAAGGTTTCTGAGGGGGGAATCAGAGGCCATGGAGTACGCACCAAGGAAAGAGGTAGCTGGTAGTGGCTGGAGAAGGGCAGTCAGTGATGTGCGGGCTTCAACAAGCATTTGTAGGCCACCTGGGGCTTTGTTAGGGCCAGATGGAACAGGGAGCAGGGCATCCAGCACAGAGGCTAGACTTTCAACAGCTCTGTTACCGTCGCTGCGTTACACGGCCACCACCATCCCCACCATCAACACCACTTCGACCACAACCACCAGGACCATCGACACCTCCACCATCATCACCAGCACTGCTAAGACAACACCAACGAACAATCTTCCAGACAAAGCCAAGGAGCCCCACAAAATGAAACGATGCTTCCCAGGAAAAAGTCACTGGGAATAATCACTGTGTATGTGGTGGGAGTGGTGGTCAGGGCTATTCATCTTACATTACGCTAGAATGTTGGAGGAGAGGCTGGATGCCAGTAAGGAAAAGCTTGGGGACCAGTCCCCTCTGGGATGCATAGAGGGTGCACCTATGGAGTGAACCTTCCAGAGCGGTGACCACCATGAATCTTTCATCACTGAGGCAACATCTCAGGGAAGGAGCAGCCATGGAAAGACCTGAGAAAATGAGAACCCTCAATTGAGGCTGATCCTACTGCTCAGACGTCAGGCCCAGAGCAGGGAGCTGGGCCCAAGGGGGCTGGGGCACTCACCGTTACTGCTGTTGTCATCCACCAGGATGATCTCCTTGAGCAGGTGTGGAGGCGTGCGCTCGATGGCTGAGTGGATGGAGCGAAGCAGCACCGAGAGCGCTTCGTTGACGAAGATGAATACGATGCTCACCTCCGGCAGGCTGTCGGGGAAGGAGAGGTTGCGGCACCTGGAAAGGAGAACAGCCAGGCTCTTAGATCTGTCAGTGGCTCGGCGGGGGTCACCTCAGGTGCTAGCCCACCCCATGTCCCGGATCCAGCTTTGCTGGAGGGCTCAGGAGTCCAGATTCTTCCCAAGGCCTCTTCTCTGATACACTTAAGGCAAATCCTAAGTGTGCAGCCGATGGGCTCACAACCGTTGAAACCGGTTTGCCCTCCAACAGAGTCTGAATTTGTCAAAGCCAATCCAGGCTGAATAGTTGCACCTTCAACACCTAGTGCAGTGCTTGGAACCCAGCAGGTGATCACTGAGTGTCACTCAACATTTCTAAACCCAATAGGATAAAGAATGTCACCAAAGGAAAGTCTTAGTTCTTCCAAAATGGCAGCCAAGCCCTAGGCGAGGCCAGACCTTAGATGATCTACCAGAGAACAAAATGTTCCTACTGCCAGAGACTTCTACTGCCTGAATCCACTCCGCCTCACTCCAGAGGGCACACTGCCCGGGGCCTCTCCACCCTCATTCCCCACAGCGATCCAGCCCCCAGACCAAGCTGAAGCTAGAGCCAGGGTCTCAATATGAACGAGGAAGGAAGGACCATCTCATTTCACAGGTGAGGACACGAAGGCTCAGAGAGGCTGAGACCCCACCGTTGAGTCAGCTGCCAAAATAAAAGCTCAACTCTGTTCTTCTGACATCTACACCAGGCTCCTCCCTCAAAGAGAGATGGTCGTGGGAAAGACTGCCCCTAACTGTCCCATTTCCTCTCAACTCCACTGAAACCGGGAAGCCATTTGGAGGTCTCCTACCCAAAGGATGTGAAGAAAAGTTATAAAAGTCTGTATGCATTCCCCACGGGAATAAGAACACACAACCCTGAAATCGGACCCCATAAAGAGGCCAGACAATAAGAAGTGCCATGGTTCCCAAGGATTGTCCAACTCCTTCTCCTGCAAACACTGCCTTCCTGGGCTAGAAACCATGCTGGTGCACTTCTCTGCCTGAAACCAAATGCTGTTCCAGAAGGCACTGAGCTCTTATCTTCAGGATGGTTGAATGAGAGGAGGGAGCAGCAATTCCAGCCCTGTCCCAGGCCCTGGGCTCAGAGGAGGCTGGCCACTCCCACCACCAGCCACTGAAGGCTCCAGGGGTTAAGGGCCAGTGACCATGTTGCATTGTTCCAAGGTGGGTGCTGCAGCCAGCTCAGAACTGGCAATAACGAGCGTAACAGCAAGGGCTTCTGCTCGTCACTAATTAAGGTGCTGTAGGATAGGCACGGGCCTGCTCTTCCTTAATGAGGAAGGCTGCAGGATCACCAGCGCTGAGCAATTTGGAGAAATCACCGTGGGGCCCCAGCCTGCTTAAGAGCAGGAGATTAATAAACTAAAATCATCATCTCTATGGTTACCAGAAATTTACAAAAACTTCTCCCATTCTATTTCCAGCTCTCTTTCTCTCTCACCAAAGAGAGGTGGGGGAAGGGAAAGAATTGAGCCTTTTCCCAAATCTGCTTCACCTTACAATTTCAGTAAAGCCATCAGGCGAACAGATTGGTGTAGAATTCATTCATTCTTGTACTTAATGGAATATATATTTATTGAGCTTCTTCCACAAGGTAGGTACTGCACTGAGGGTGCAGCAGGACGTGGTTGAAGTGCCCGCCCTCAGGGAGCTTACACTTTGACAGAGAAACAGATAAACAAGTGACACAAGTTCCTCTAAGTGCTGAGCTGAAAAGCAACGTGGGGTGAGGACAGGGTGCTGCCCTGCAGCTGTTCTGGAAGGAGCAGTCAGGGAGGGGCTCTGTGAGGAGCAGAGATCTGATCAGAAACTTAAAGCGCACACAAAAGTGAGCTGTGCAAAGGCCCCGTGGGGCCGAGGGAAGAGTGCTGTGCCTGGAGAGGAGAGGACAGAGGAAACCAGCTCCTTTAACTGCAATGAAGGGATGAAGGGATGAGGGGGAGGGAGGGCCTTTAATGAAGGAGAAAGACTGCAATGACTCCGTAAGCCCATCAGACCCTTTCCAACAATCTGTTGTTATTGTAAATGCAATTCTGATAACAGCAATTAAAAGGTTTGTGGGTAACAGCCAAATAATTCTTCTCGCTAGTGCTTATTTACGGCTACCAAGAGCAGCAGCTGGCCTTTCCTTAGGCATGGAAACGGACAGAAGTATTAACACACAACCTACTTGCTAATTGCATTTTAAAAATAGTACAATCTATCGTCAAACTACTAGTACGTGACCCTTATTTTTCTTTCACAAAAGTATAGTGAACAGCTCCCGATAAGGTCAATATATCGGTACAAGTTCACTGTGCTCCCCACTAACCCCACCAGCCATGAAGACTGTGCCCCGTGTCTGCTGGCACTTCTCCAGAGGCTCCCCGAGTCCTCAGGGCTCACTCTCCGGAGCTCCAGGTTGTTCCCCAGTGTTTCCCAGAGTTAGGGCTAACTGCCTTGCCTACCTCCTTCCCATCAGTTCTTAACCATCCATCTGCCCTCGAAGGAGACCAAGTTGAACTTCTCCCAGTAACATCCAGGCCCACCCTGATGGTTTAAGCCACCAGTGTCCGTCAGCCGGTTTCTGACAGCCTTTCTCCAAGCAGAAGGGAAATGTTAAAACTAAACTCTGCTGACCACTATTTTCATATGAAAGACCCTTTCAAACCTAAGATTTTCAGATGACAACCCTTTTGACTATAACAGAACACCTAGGATAGTGCATCATATTTGTGTGTGTGCCTTGCCTGTCCCCTCTGCCATAGTGACCCTCCCTGCGAGCAGGGAATTCATTTTGCTCCTGTGGCATATCCCACTTTAACCAGGGCCTGGCACATGGTAGGTCTTGGGAATTAAACAGAGCTAACAAGTTTATTTTATAGAAGGCCAAAATTTTACATGCACACCACTGATCTCAGCACGCTCCTTTTTCTTACAAAGCTCCTCTCTCTGAAGGAGTCAGGTTCTCTGCCCACCAGCAGGTCCTTTTCTTCTGTCCTCCCCCCGTAATTTATGGCCCCAGGGCCTCACATTGAGTCTCCAGCAGTTTGCAGTTTCTTTGCACAGTAATTAAGTGATCCCTCCAGGCCAAATGTCCTGACCTCGTAAATCCTATTTTCCGCCCCTTCTCTCCTGGGAGCTGCTCAGGCCCTTCCAGCAACAGCCACTGCTGGTGGCCTCTCTCTCTTGGCATGGCCCACACCCTCCCTCACCTTCAGTTTCCCACATCTGACCCATTATGTGGGTCTGGGTGAGCAGACAGGTGAAGGGTGGGCAGGGTAAGAAAGAGGAGGCAGCATAATTTTTAGGGAAGGAGGGTTGGAGGGGGGAGGAAGCCACCCAGGGGCTGATCCAGCTCTGCCCTAACTTGCTGTGTGACCACAGGCAAGCCACTTCACCTCTCTCCATGTCTTGTCATAGAATAAGGGAGGCAGAGGAAATGATCACTTATGTGTCTTCTCTCTCTAAAATTCAGGATTTTCTATGTCACATGCGGTGAACAGAAGACATCTCTTTAAAAAAATGGTTTGCAAACTTTCGCTCCCTCCCAACCAGCACCCAGTCACCACCAAATGCCACAAGATACAGCCCCTGACCACCACTGTGAACAGACAGGGTACCAACTCCTCCAGTTTGCCCGGCACTCTCCCAGTTTGAGCACTGAAAGCCCCAAGCAAACCAGGATGATTGGTTGCCCTGTGACTAGACCCCAGCTTCTTGAGGGTAGGGACAGGTCTTGCTCAAGGCTGCATATCCACTGCCCAGCACGGTGCCTGGCAAACACAGCAGGCATTCAGTTGGCATCTGCTGAATAAGTTGATGCCACCCTTTCAAAGTCCCCAGCACACACACAGTCATGGTTCATATCTTCATCTCAACACTGAAACAGAACTCACACGGCTGGGGCAGGGGAGAGGCAAAAAGGGAAAAAGAACAGTATGTCGGGCAGGATGTCTACAGACCTGCTGGCCACACCTGCCATCACCACTGCTGGACACTGAACTCAAGACAGAAGCCTGCCTGCTGTGGGGCAGCCCGAGGCCTTCTAACGGAACACACGCCCAAGAGCCGCTATGGAAGAGGACTGTTCTGGATCCAAGCCCAGCGCTTCTGCTCCAGAGTCTGGCCACTTGCTTCACCTGTCAACCAGCACCGGCCCCGCGCGAGGGCTGCGCCTCTCGTGGTCACACCTCTGAGATGCTCTCCCGGGCACCTGCATCCCCAGGGTCTGGCCACCGTACCCTCTGCTCCCTGAGCCCGCCCTCCCCGCCTGCTCTGGACGTCTGCTCTGGCCCCCGTCTCCGCTCGCCTCTCCAGAGAAGGGCCAGTGGAGGGGAGGGTCGGAGGACCCACTCAGTATGCTGGCCCTTCCCCACTTCCGCTGCTTGAGAAAGCCTGTCTCTACCAGATTGGTCCCTTCCTCATTTTGCGAAGAGGCACATTCTCCTGTAAAATTAAGCCATAAAAGTTCCCTTTTTTACTTTTATTTTTGTTCAAAGTCGAGCCATTTTCCACTGGAGATAAAAACAAGGCATCTCTGAGAGAGGAGGACCAGGGTTGTCTAATAAGCCGGAATTGATGACCACGATAAACTCTGCTTTCTCGATCTCTGCACACGGCAGGCGGGCGGGGACCGGGGCAGCCATGGAAGCGGCCTCTCAGCGGAGCCCCCGAGGCTGTTCGGAGCTGCTGACAAGGAAGTTTATACCAACAGCTTCAGTGCCGCTGTCACCTGCGAGAGGCAGGGAGGCAGTGGCAGGTGAAGCGAGGCCAACCCAGGCTCCCGGCTGCCGGGTGCCGCCCAGGGCAGCAGCCAGACACCCCACATTGGGTCGCAGAGTCTCCCCTCCCTGTGACCTCGGCAAATCCAGCTTCCAGTCCATCAAAGGGATAACTCATGAGGCTGCCTGACCTGGAGTGGGAGGAGGGGTAGACCTCTTCCAGAATAAAGATCACAGCAGAATATGAACTGGGGCCGTCTGCCGATGCACACGGGGCCTCGGGTCC